TTCTCCATTAACTACTCTGTGTGCTTTTTAAAGGAAACCCCATTCCTATAAAAAATGGTACTGGTAGTAACTAAAAATAAGTATTTACAAACAGTTCCTTCTCTGCTTAGATTGGGATAGACTACTCTAGTAGGAAAAAAAAAAAACTTCCTTGTTTGTATAGCTTGTCATTTTTACCTTCTTGCTAAATACTAACACTTGTAGCTTCAAAAGAGCTTCGTTTTACTAGTGAAAAAAAAAAACAGATTGAAGGAGGTCAAAATTTGCTAAAGATTACTAGAAAAAAAAAGGCTTGAAATTGGAACTGAATAGAACCCTTCAGTGTTCTTTAGTTCCTTTCTAGTACACCAAGCTGCTAAACAGCAACATAATTTTATTTTGCAGAAAGAAAATCATTCAAAAGCTAGAACATCTTCTAAGAATAGAAACATAAAACTTGATAGCTTTTATTCATTTCCCACCTACTATATAATAAGCATTCTTTTACATGACAGCCAGCTAAAGGTGAGATGGGAGAAGGAAACTACAAGAAAAGACATAACTTGAATGTTCTTCAAAGTCCCAAAAGCATAACTTTAATTCATTTACTTTTTTTTTTTAAAGATTTATTTATTTATTTATACAGAACTGGGGTACAGGCAGAGATGCGGAGGGTGAGAGGATTCACCAGGTACAGAGCAGGGAGCAGAACAGGCAGATCGACAAAGTACACTGCTGAGGGGAGTAGCGGGCGGGTCAGGAGAGGTCTGCCTTGCCATGTGGTCACCTCCGGGGCAGGCAGGGATTGAACTCATGTGGAAGTGGCTTTAGCTTCTTAGTGCTGTGCTTTAACCGGCTGCGCCACCAGGGAGGGTCTAATTCATTTACTTTCTTACTGGTGAGGTGGCAGTTGGGGAGGGGGAGGCGAGATCCTAGAAGATAGCTTTCTTTCTGGAGTTATCTAACCCACTTCTTGTAAGTGCTACATAAGCACAATGTAGTTCTCAACCCCATGCCAGGCCACATTTGTACAAGGGACTCCAAACTCCTCTCCTGTTTTGACCAAAGCTGGATCTATGACCTAAACTGAGGTATTCAGTTTGTTCTCTTTAGAAATAGAGACAGGGATGAAGAGGGACTACTCTAGTCTAGGCTGCAAGCTGCCCCCAAGTGCTCTCAGGCTAGGAACAAAATAGTAAACAAGGACAAAACAAATTGTGCTGCTCAGAATGAATTTGACCAGGAACAGAATGAAACAGAAGCCCCAAAACAGAAGGAAAGAAAACAGTTTCGACTTGGGGGTTCTAGGGCCTTCTTCTCTAGGTATATCCCAAAGCGGCCCAAGGCTCTTTCTCCCCTACAGTATTAAGACTAGCTGGACCTGTAGGATAAAAGGTTCCTCTCTTCTGAGTTTAAAATAATCTTGTTCAAGACAGTTAAAAACATTGGTATTGTTAAAAGGAGGCAAATAACACCAAAATTTGTTAGAAAACAAGACCCCGCAGAATGCCCAAGGGTTCAGAAACACCCACTCACTAACCTTAAACAAAGAGAAGTGCAGACTGTTATTAAATGGGAAAGCTAGCTGATGCTGTGCCATAAGCTGTTTCCAGTCACTGGGCACAAATGTTCAGATCACACATCAGGCTAACGCATCCTTATTTCCTCGCAGGCCTGTCTCCTGCACCTCAGTAGTTTTCCTAGGTCTCTTCTCTTAAATGGAAAGCAAAAAAAAAAAACCCACAACCAAAAATCTAAATCTAAGTCACATGTAGGAATATTCTCCAGAAATAAATAATATATGATCCCTCGTTTACACTCTTCTCTTGCCTCACCTCCACCTTGCTTTCACCCTGATAGGCTTTCTCCCTGGTAAAGTAAATTTAAGAATGAAACTCTATACTCGATACAACCTGTCTTTTTAACTGTGCTGTTGGGTATCCCCTCTTCAAAGGTCAACTGGAGTTTTTGCGCCACTGACCACCAAATGACAGCTTGAAAATATAATCAGTGAAGAGGGAGAAGAGGCCACTTCTCATGAAGGGCTCCAACAACTCTGTTAGAAAACAAGGCCCCGCAGAATGCCCAAGGGTTCAGAAATAGACACTCACTACCCGTAAACAAAGAGAAGTGCAGACTGTTAAATGGGAAAAATAGGTTTTAAATGGGAAAAATAGGTTTTAGGGATACATTTTCACCCTTGTAATCGTAGCAGGGTTTCCCAACTTTCCATGAAATTCATTACATGAAGTCTTAACATTCTTTAAAAAGGTTCCATTTCTGAGAGCTTCTATATTTTTGTACACATTCAGGTCCTCTCCTTTCTCCAAAGCCTTTTTTCACTCCTTTTGTCATTTCATAATGGTGGTATGGCTCTCCCACCTCATGCTGTTTCTCACAGATTTCACTAAGGTTAACTGGGCTCCCTTTCTTTTTAGCTAAGGGAACTACAGTATACTGTTTCACATTAGCTTCAGAGAGAACCAAAATATAATAAAATTCCCAGCAGTTTCTCCAATTTGACTCTGTCAAGTTATTAGACTTGCAATTGATTTACAAAAGCACAAGATAAAAACAGTAAGAGTGGCAGCAGCTGACAACTACTAAGCACTTACTATGTGGCCAGTAATAATAGCACATAAGCTCTTTCCATGCATCATCTCACTTAATCTTCCTTGGTCTGTAATGCAGAAACATTTACTATTTTTCGTGACTCAAAGAAAACTGACGGTTTCTCAGTTTTCTGCAAGTAAGGAGTAGAACGGAGGCAGTCTACACCACTGCTCTTTTTCCACACCCGACATCACTTGAACTTCTCTCTTTCTACATTCCAATTCATATCCAGTCTTCAAAACCCAGCTCAGATTAAATGTTTACAAGTCGTCACTACCTTCCTAAGTGGGCTTCTTATAGGCAAAGGTCTGCAACATTTCATCCTTGATCCCACAGGTACAATATTGTATTAATAAATTCATGCTAAATACAACTGGATTAAATGGAACTACAGATTTGACATCTATCATAGAGTTAATACATGGCTCGACTAGGATATTCTTGCCATGCTAAGGACTTACAATTAGGTCTAAGCAATTAGTAGCTATTCCAGCATTTACTC